CCGCCGTGGTTACTAACGCTGATTCCAGGTATGGCATTTCCTTTCCTGTCTTCCTTCAGTCTCCCTGTTCTCTTCAGTCTTCCTTTATGCGAGTGTGTGAATCCAGTTTAGTTTGGTAGGCGTCTGATCATGGTGAGCCACGGTTTACCCAGCTAACGTGGGACAACGCCCCTTATAGTTATAGTGTATTCAGTTGAGTTTTTGAACTGCGATGTTCCTGGCGGGTTGTGCCAGCGTTGTGCAGCAAGAGTGCTGTGGTTTTTCAGGTCCTATTTGGAGGAAAGTTCTTTTCCCTTTTGACCCCGTGAGATCGTGTGAACCTGGTGTGCTTCTACTTTATGATTTGTTTATCAGTTCATTCTTCTGTCTATTCCAAACGTTATCATTTTCGATATTATTTGCCATACTCCGGTTGACGCTCTCCCCGTAATTCGCGATCTACTATAATGTTCACGACTCCATACCTGTATTATATTATGCAAGTCATCCAACCCGCCTATCTCTTATCGTCGAGTTTATTCCGACGCGACCATGCATGCCGCCAGTTTTTTTTTCTAAATAGCAGCCAGTTGTTGATGTCCAGCTATCACCTACATGTAGTATTCGAATCACGAGGACGCGATTGTATTTGAGAGGGGAGGTGTAGCGTTGGCACGCTGGGGACTTCAAAGGGTATAGCATTTAGTGTTTAGAGTATAGCATATCCCCGTACTGTATCCCCATACGTTAGCGTACGGAGTCTGCCTTTGTATCAAAGCTGCTGCTCACGATTCTTTTATAGCCAGTCAGTTAATTTCATTGCCAGATATAGTTAATTTCGTTGCCAGTACATTTCAATTGCCAGTTACAGTGTGTTCACTGAGACCCTTGTATTTTGGCCTCCGAGAGACTGCGACCCGCTACACAACAACAAAATAAGTGGACAGCTGTTATTTGTGTTGCTATGACAACTCGTGTGCTGGATGAGTATTTGTTGTCATTGGTTCAATTTTTTTACTCTTCATAGGCTATCAGATCATTTTCCTTATTCGGTCTATTTATAACCAGTATCTATAATGAGAGTGTGGTCTGTCTCCATGGTTACCGGTGCTCATTTCATAACTATAGCCACTTCTCCTTGTTAGACCTTATCTGGAAGGCCCATTCTTGCATATTCCAACAGCCGCCAAGGGAGCTAGCTCTCTTGGTTATGCGGACTGGGACCGATCCTAAAAAGCTGTTTTTTATGAACTGTTTTTGTTGGATAGGATATGATAATGTTGAATAAAGCGGGATTCACAGAAGCTTTTTTGCGATGCGACAGGCGCGAAACCGGGAAAACCCCAAACCGCAGCCATGTCGCACTCCACGCAACTGCCGCAACTGGGCCATCGCAGGCCATCGCAGAAGTTTGAGCTTGGCTCAACTTTTGCGATGCGATGCGACAAGCGATTTGGCGTACGATTTTGACCTTTTCCACAGCAAAGTTGTACAAAGGTTCAAGAGTTGCCTATAAATTTGTACAAGTTGTATCAAACCTTAACGAGGGTTGTGTCAATAGGAGTTGACTTGGAGTTTTTACGATTTGATTCTAATATCCATTAGAATCAACTTGAATCGACTTGAAGCGCAGCAGTCAGCTGGGGAATGTGAGGGCCATCGCTCTGGACAAGCCTGCATGGAGAAATCTGGCCGACAATCCATGATCTGGCGTCACAGGTCATCAGTGCGCCGTGTTAATAATTACCTTGATAATGGAATTTGATCATAGGAGATAGGACAGAAGCGGAACGTATAATTATACCCACATAATTATATTATTACGCGTGCTGTGGTATTATTATTATTATTATTATTAGAATCAACCCGTTAAAACTCCAAGTCAATCTTCCATTGACACAAACCTCGTTTATTCAACATAATCATATCCTATCCAATAAAAACAGTTCATAAAAACAGCTTTTTAGGATCGGACCCAGTCCGCATAACCAAAAGAGCTTGCTCCCTTGGCTGCTCTTGGAATATGCAAGAATGGACCTTCCAGATAAGGTCTAACAAGAAGAAGTGGCTATAGTTATGAAATGAACACCGGTAACCATGGAGATAGCCTATGAAGAGTAAAAGAAATTGAACCAAAGACAACAAATACTCATCCAGCACACGAGTTGTCATAGCAACACAAATAACAGCTGTCCACTAATTTTGTTGTTGAAGATTGAGTAGGAGTTTTTACTGGTTGATTCTAAATGCAATAAATGAGGAGGCCGTGGGTTTATGACCAATAAAAACTAATTATAAAAACCTCGAGGACCTCGGTTCTATAATAGTTTTTATTGGTCATAAACCCTCGTCCTCCTCATTTATTGTATACATTAAATGATATTAAAAAATATCATTTTAATCAGGGAGTCGTAAAATACCGGAAGGCGACACGCCACACATTTCACGATTCGAGGATTGCTGCACTCGACCCGCGAATTTTGATGCGTGATTGAAACGTCGTAGTCATCTTCTTTTTCTCAATTGTTTTTGCTATGCTTCGAGGCCTATTCTAGATCTCCAGAGCGAAAGCTGGTTGTTTCTGATTCGTACCACGCATTACCTTAGGTTGAGCCGTTGCTTTTAATTTTACACCTCTTGTTGTCCTCGCCATTCATTTATTACAGTGCTAATGTATGGCGCCTCGTGCTCTCCTCTCCTCACTTCTGTAGCGAAGTGTCTCAATGCCCTGCTATTATAGTTTGCTACAGAGCCAGTTTCATTTCATTATTATTCTACTCCCTGATGAAGCCCCAAAGGCGAAAATTTGGAGATTTCATTTCTTTTGAATAAAATTTGCAGCGTCAACGACCTTTGTGTAATGGTGTTGACGGATCATAATTATTATGAATTGGCTGCAGTGGAGCCTCCGTGTTCTAAGGCTGCGTTTACACGGAGACGAAACTAAACGAAATGGAACGAAAAAGGGCTGGCCTCGAATCGTTTTCAAACCGTTTACACGAGAACGGCAAATCGTTTTTAACCGATCACACGAAAACGGAAAACGGGCGATCAGGCTGGAGTTAGCACGTGCTGGCTTGGCGCAAGGGAGGGAAGTAACACGTTAGTTGGAGTTGGCACGTGCTGGTGGTCGCAAAGGTCAGGTATTTCCCGCGAAATATAGTCCCGCGCGGAATGGTTTCCATGACAGCGTTCCGTTTCCAATTGTTTTTACTGTTTTCACCGTTTACACGAGAACGAAAACGTTTCGAAAACGTTTCAAAACACTTTGAAGTGCGTTTCCATTTCGTTCCGTTTAGGTATCGTTTTCGGGCGTTGTCGTGCAAATGATAGTAGTAAACGCAACGATTTCGTTCCGTTCAAGTCCTTCTTCGTTGTCATGTAAACGCAGCTCGTTTTCAATCGTTGTTATGTCAACGCAGCCTAATAAACGTACCCTAGGTAAGCCCGTGCAATAGAGCTGAATGAAGAAAAGCGTGAGTGCATGAAGTAGAGTAAATAAAAAACGATGTGTGTGTATGTATGCGTGTATGCGTGCGCGAGTGTGTCGGTGTGCACGCACAAAAATGTGAAAACAATATGTTGCTCACTACCCTTTCTCTCTCGAAGAACATTATATCATCAAGGAACATTATGACAAGTGGTTTCCAGTTAATGCTTACCGCATACAACAGATCTTTTATCGTGAAGAAAAGGACGAAGGAACTACAAGTTGCATGATCATTGGCTCTCCATCCGAGAAGATATGTTGTGCAAGTTTGAACTGTGACTCGGGGATGTTCAATTGGCCAGACTCTGTACAGTGAGTGATGTCCACCCAAAAGTCTTTACAGTTGATTACAAGTTTGAACTGAGTATAGTGGATTTTGGACCGCTGAACTATATTATAGGGGGTAACCAATTGACTGGCCTCCATACAGGAAGTGATGCACGTCTAAACTCTGAAGTTGATGTCCTTACAGTTGATTCCAGGTTTGAACTGTGCTTTGTGGATGGTGGCACAAAGGCCTCGATATAATTATGGTGTGCACCTCATATTATAGGGCTGAAATGCCTACTGAGTCAAATATACATGTTTATCACTCCCTTAGTATTTGCTCTCATTGATTTTCGCTATACCTAAGCAGTCGAATGTTCTTGCATATTTCATTCTTTAGGCCTATATTGACCGCTTATATTTGACTGCTTAGGGGTTGCCCAGTTTAACGGTGCCTAGTCCAGCATTGTCAATGCATGAGTAGGTGGTAGTGCAATGGTTGTGCAATCATAAAACCGGGATTCATGAGGTTATCAGTTTCCTCTGAGACAAAAATGCGATAATACTCATAAAAAGGACACACTTCAGGCTCATTACAAACATCTTGAAAGTTTTTGTCTTCACAAGTATACTTTCAAGCCTTCTCATCAGGTGAAATACAGGCAAGGGAAAAGGAACAGGAACAGTGGATTAAATACAGTAAGAAGGTGGTAAAACAGCGCAAAAAGAAAGAAAGAAAGAAAGAAGATAGCTAAAGTAAACAGCGAAAATTGCAATAATGACACAAAGCTATCTTCTTTCTTTCTTTCTTTCTTTTTGCGCTGTTTTACCACCTTCTTACTGTATTTAATCAACTGTTCCTGTTCCTTTTCCCTTGCCTGTATTTCACCTGATGAGAAGGCTTGAAAGTATACTTGTGAAGACAAAAACTTTCAAGATGTTTGTAATGAGCCTGAAGTGTGTCCTTTTCATGAGGTTATCGTTTTAGAATTTGAAATACGGACTGTTTGTCGTGATAAATCTAATATTGACTTTGTACTTGGTCAGTATAGGAAATAAAAACCTCGTAAAAGATCTCGGCTTCGCCTCGGTCTTTTACTCGGCTTTTATCTCCTATAATAGATACATAGCATACCATGGTGCCTGGTCAAATGTTATGTAGGCTTAGCTAAACCAAGGTTCGGTGTGCATGTGCATGTGTATGTGCAGAATAACAAAAGTCGATTCAAGTTCTGTGAATAGTATTGTTCGAAGTATGTGGAGAAGAATGGACATCTACAATAATATTATTATTAGGGTTACGGTTACCCAGTGTATTAGAAACATTTGAAAGTACACAAAACAAGTTTCAGGGGATTGCCTCCTCACACACATACACTAAGAAGGCTCAGGGAAATACAAAACTGGAGGCAGGTTCCCTGAAGGAAATGAAGATTAGTCAAAAATTCATAACCCGAAGGAGAAAGGTAGGGATAAATGTGCACAAGTACTTTTTTCCGGGCCGGAAAAGATCACTTTAATAGGTCGTCCAACAACAGTATGTAATACATGTCATCATTACCTTGCAGTGCAAATGCCACCTATCGACAGTGTACACTACTCTACGTGACTCTGTACGTGGCATGATTATTACTATTCTAAATAATGCGTAAAGAAGACGTCGTATGGACTGTTCAACAAAGCGGGAAACTCAAAAGTTATTCTATGTTTATGGCAAATCCCTACACTGCAAAACCAAACGAAAGCAGAAATCGCAGTACATAAAAAGAGAGGCAGTAGATCAGTGGCAGCTGTATTGCTGGTCAGTTACTCTTAACAAACAAATGTCTCCCCGTGTGAACCTGGGGACAATTTCCCAGTTAGTCCTCTATCCCAGCATATGTGTAAAGGGTAGGACCACAGTGAGGAGCACAATCAAGGCGGCTTGTATTCCCAAACAGGGCAAATGCATCTTTGCTCCGCTCTTACCGGCCTTGCGAGAATCAGTGCCTGGGGAAATGACACAGGCAAAAGGAAAAGCACGCGTACCATGTTTACAGTTTTTTTTTAATGTCCTTGTTTTAAATGCACTTCAGATGTCTCTCTGGCAATCAGGCAGATGATAATTCTAGGAAACACAATGTATTACAAGATATACAAGATACAAACTTTTCGTAGCTAGAGCACTGGGCCGCTAGGGCGACAAACTATCCAAATGTCTTTGTTGCCTGATTTGCACTATGGCTGGTTGCTCAGCTTATTTTCGAAACAGCTTGCTGTCTACAGCATGGAGGAAAAGGAATGTTATGTAATCACACAACCTACTGGAGCTTCTGTTCTATTCAAATCACCGTTGAGATGTTCGACTACCCATTTTTTTGGCCAAAACTCAACGTGTAGATGTGTCAACTGGGTTCGAGGATGAAAAGTACGTGGTGTGGAGCTCACGGCTTGACGTGATTTTGGCGCTCTACACGGATCGTGCTCCATGAAGAATTTTTCAGGAACCTCTAATCTGCGCAGCACTCAAGTGTCGGAATAAGGAGCACCATGACATCACTGGAGACAAAAATCTGTCGATGTCGCCATTTTGGTTGTCCCGTAGGAAAAAAGGATCTCAAATTTACATGTCGAGTCATCGTATTTGCTAGTAGCATGATTCTATCGAGCCTCATCAGCAGGTTACGAAAGCCATCACATTTAACCGAGGTACAATATGCGTAGCATGCGTTTGAATTCACGGACAGATACTATGGACTTCATACAGTCGGGCAGGTCATTCCAGAGTCGGCGGCTGGCTACAAGCGGTCGGCATGCGCCAGAAGCACTGTGGACCAGTATGGGGAGAAGGTTGCGTCCCAACTGACCTCGAGTGGGCATGCCTGTCGGTGGGCATTGCAGTACATTTCGGGACAACAACAACTCACTGATGATTCCTGAATGGATTTGAAATGTCAGGAGTCGGAGCTTGCATGCCCCTCGTTCCAACACTGGGCAAACACCCAGCCTGGTGTACAGGGGAAGAGTGTATGCCAATGGATGTTCATCAGCCACGCAACAGATGCAACGTTTATCCGGCTTGGCTACTGTGTTCCGCTGCTCAGCGGACAGTCCTGGGAGAAGCGCACTTGATGCATAAACAATGTCCTGTATGACAAGGGCAGAGTAATACAGCATCGCCTGCCGCACTGTTAGGCAGTGCGGGATCTGGCAGAGGACTCGCAGCTTCATAGCCGATGAGTCGGACTATAGAGGTGACTTGTGGTGACTAGCGAAGATTTTCTTCCAGAATGACTCGGAAGTAGCAAGCCGTACTGGTCTGGGCAAGAGGCGTGCCTGTGCAAGTAATGTGGAGGTCGAGGTGTGCCTGCCGGGGTTCGTGTGAGACTCGGCTAGAGGCGGATTCTTCCGCATAAGTAGGAGTGCCAGAGCCCTTCAAGGATCAAGGCGCAAATGCAGCTCCTCAAGCAGTGGGAGGTGAGCAGATCAGACCCGTCAAAAATCGGGTCTAGAAACGAGTCACACCACAGCGTCTACGAAAAAGCTATGAACAAAACTCCATCAAGCCAACATTGCCTCACCTTAGAAGGGTTCCTGGAGCAGTCCCGTTTAGCCACGCCAGGATCCCAGAAGACGAGGTCCATCACCCCCTGACGCCACAAATGATCGTCTTGAAAATAGCCAATTTACAAGCTCTGGCAAAACAGCCAGCTACGTCCTCAATTGGCAAGAACTATGCACCGGCAGATAGTAGAACACCTCTTCTAGCACTGAGGACATGTCTCCCATCATCCTTTTGGGGTTTTCTTGAAATAAACTTTTTTGAATTTTTCCCCTCCACCATACGGCCAAAATCATACCGGCGCAGGAAAGCTCGCCCCTCCGTGACGTCTCCTCAGCAATTTCTACTCCAACACTACTCCGAACGATGCAGAACAAAGCGTATTGTTGACTCTGACAAGGAAAAGTAGCACTCCAAACGACAAGCTTCTCCTTGCTCCTTGTTCGTATACGCTGTGGTGTGACTCGTTTCTAGACCCATAAATAATGTGATATTTCGGCCATTTTTGAGGGGTATGCAAGTTTCAAGGTTCCCTTGAGAAACTTTTTCAAGGGCTTTGCACAAGCGATCCACACCCCAAAGGGAACATACATGCAAATTTTGAGCGAAATCGGAGAGATCCACTTGCACACATACGTTGGTATTCTTAGACATGCTCTCCTAAGTAATAGAACGGTTTTAAATGCCATGTATCGACCAGGCGCCAGGCGCGAACTGATGGTGGTGGTGGTGAGAAGGAGAGCTCTGTGCCAGAACTTTGCAGCCTAGAGAGCGTGTGTGGGCAGGCGTGTGTTTACCGCCATATTGCCAGGTGTGTCTTTACCACCATATTATCAACCATAAGTACAGCTGCAGTGGTGTCTTCAACTTCATTCTCGCGAGTCAAGCTCCGTATGAAGACATCCAAGAAGAAGATTGCCTGGTGAGTCCAGCGGGGACGAAACGTACGTCGCAATCGAACTATGTAGTTGCTGTGTCATCATCTACGTGCCATGCGCTACTTGACGTACCAGCCTGCTATGCCGGACACCGCCAGCCATGCATCGACCAGGCGCCAGGCGCGAACTGATGGTGGTGGTGGTGAGAAGGAGAGCTCGGTGCCAGAACTTTGCAGCCTAGAGAGTGTGTGTGGGCAGGCGTGTGTTTACCGCCATATTGCCAGGTGTGTCTTTACCACCATATTATCAACCAGTGTTAAATGCCATTATAAAATCATGATTCAAGTGGAATAAAACCACTAGAGGAAAAAGGTAACAAGATTACGTAACCAAAGGTAAGAAGGCACTAACCGAAGTGTCAACCCATGAATACAACCTTAGTGCGACAAAGTGTTCTTTCTGCTTACACAAAACAGGCTTAAGAAAACGTATACAAACTGTCTCGTGGATTTTCCACTGCTGGACATAACTTGCACGACACAGTACAGAAAAATGAGAGTCAGCATACACACACTAAGACAGCCTCATCTCGCTCTTTCCCATCCGATCCTTCCTCATCCATCTCATCATCTCCTTCCTCGCTCCGCTTGTTATCCCCACGATCGTCATCACCACCATTATCCACATCGTCCTCTGTCTCTTCACCGACCGTTTCGTCATACAATTCCTCTTTTATCTTCATCTCATCCATCTCATCCTCCGTTTCTGTACCACTTGCCCCCCCCCCCCATTTGCTAGCTGCTCGTCCCATGAGCGGAGTTGTTCCTCCAGAACCGCTTCACTCACTGACTCATGATACTGCTAGACCCTCCTCCTGTTGATACTGTCCGCAACACGTGGTCCCTGCCCGTTTCTGGCATAAATCTCTTTGGAGTAGTTTGCTGTTGCCCTCCCAGGTCCCTGTGAGATGTCTGCATTGCCTGTCTTGCTGAGTAGGTGCTGCGAGAACCGGGGTGATTTGTCTGAGAGTTGGTGCTGGCAGTGCCGATGTAGGTCCATCCCAGCTCCCTTCACAAGAAGAACCACTGGCGGTTCCGGTGGTGGCAAGGGGTGATCCATATAAGTGCAGGTGCGCTTGATCAAGGTGACTCGAAACAACTGCTGAACCGTGCTCCACGAAACCTGGCATTCTTGTGTCACGAGGCACGTGATTTCCTCATTCCTCTTGCAAGTTGCAGTAAAATCCAAAAACTACACGCAAAAATTCAGTCACTTTTGCATCAACTGTTGCACCGAAAAATGTTCGTGGTGCAAGGAGAAGCTTGTCGTTTGGAGTGACAAGTGATCACCGCTGCTTTTCATTGTCAGAGTCAACAATACACTTTGTTCTGCAGCGTTGGGAGTGGTGTTGGAGTAGAAATTGCTGACTAGACGTCTCGGAGGGGCGAGCCTTCCTGCGCAGGTATGAGTTTGGACGTATTTCATAATGGTCGAGTTGAAAATTCAAAATTGTTTATTTCAAGGAAACCCAAAAAGGATGATGGGGGACATGTCCTCAGTGCTAGAAGAGGTGTTCTACTATCTGCCAGTGTATAGTGTTTGCTAATCGAGGCCGTAGCTCGCTGTTTTATCAGCGCTTGTAATTTTGCTACTTTCAAGACGATCATTTGTGGCGTCAAGGGATGATTGTCCTCGTCTTCTGGGATGCTGATGTGGCTAAGAGCGGCGAAATCTTCTGATAACCCCTCAGCATGCTCGATATGTTGGACACTTTGAAGGCCTGTTCTAGACAGGTGTCGTCGGTATAGAGTAGAGAATGACTATTCACACGTATTGGTGCCTCTCTTGTGTAGACTGTGAAGAGGACAGGTCCCGAAACAGATCCTTGTGGAACTCCTCTTGCACACGCAACGGAAGTAGCGGTCTGACCAGTTTGGCAATATTCTACCTGCTGGTATCGGTCGGACAGATACATAGCTTGTAAACCAGGACAAGGCTGTGCCTCAGATGCCGCAGTGAAAAAGATTATGCAGGAGGCTTTTCTCATGTCTAAAAATAGCACACCGACCACATTTGGCTTTTCCAAGCCATATTACCATCTATTTACGGCGTAGCTCACCACATGCTCGGTTGAATAGCCGAACATATAAGCGAATTGCGGGGGAGGAAGACTGTTGAGGTCAGTATTGTCTCCGATGTACTTTCTCAGCTGTTTTATTATGATCTTTCCGAGGAGCTTTGAGGCTATCGGGAGGAGGGAGATTGGTCTGCAGTTGCTGGCTTGACAGGGATCTCCAGCCTTGAGCAGTGGGGTAACAGAGGCAAATTGGTAATGGTTCAGGAAGATACACGTGGCCAGTGACTGGCTGAAGATGCAAGGGAGATTTCCGGCCAGCTCATTCGAGGATATGTGCAGTATGTTCAGGGATGCCATCCGAGCCTGTGGCTTTGGAGACGATTACATCTCTCAGCAGTGCTTGGAACTCCTCATGAGTAACACGTGAACATTTGGTCACAATGTTGGCTGGCATTGGCCCTGGATGACCTAACAGTGTGCTGACAGTTGCTGT